CAGGATCCTAAACAGAACGGGACTGCACAGAAGGAAACGTCAGTCCGGTCCTCTAGCTGTGGCGGCGTTCCTGACTGTCTGGATCGAAGCTGAAGTTGGCTTCCGATTGTAGCTTCTGATTCGGGAAATGTCTATTATAACGGAGGCTCAGATGTATTTGATGAACATTTTCTGGTCAGATTTTTTATTAGAACAGTACACTTGCTGAACAACGGCAACGGCTGTTCGTAACCAAGCAACCGAAATCAACAGAAGGCTAGGTAGTGGCAAAAGACAAAACTAGATCCTGTTAAGCATTCTGAAAAATAAGACTTCCTCTCTCCAAAATAAATCATAAATAAAGCTTTGAATTTAATTATTTTTCATGTCACCTTTTTGTAATTATGTACAATCAAGTTAAATTAGGCAAATAATAAAAAGCATTTAAATTATACTTAACATATGAGTGTAAATAAGTAACTCCATCCATCCATTTTGTTTACACCCTTGTCCCTTGGTGGCGTTGGGAGGGGTGCTGGTGCCTATCTCCAGCTGACATTCTGGGCAAGAGACAAGGTACACCCTGGACAGGTTGCCAGTCAACAAGGAGACACACAACCATACACAGACACTCACAATTTGGAGAGGCCAGTTAACCTGACAGTCATGTTTTTGGACTGTTGGAGGAAACTGGGGTACCCAGAGAGAACCCACATATGCACAGGGAGAACATGCAAACTCCATGCAGAAGGACCAGGGCCGGGAATCGAGCCCAGAACCTTCTTACCTTCTTGCTGCAAGGCAACAGCTCTACCAACTACACCACTGTGCAGCCCTGTGAATAAGTAACTAATCATGGAAATTAGATTTAACATACAAGTGTTAAAAAAATCACCTGATACAAACATACATGAACACTTCAAATCTGGAGTAGATTATTCTATGCCAATTGCATAATATTTCAAACCTAGTTTGTGATTTGAGAAATCTTTATCTGAATTGTGAAACTTCAGTAATGAGAGATTTAAAAAAACCTTTTTTCATCTGGAATACTGGAATCCATTAGAAATGAACTATCACATTTGCAATATGTGTTATTATTTTAACCTGTTTTCTTTCAGGTTTTGTCCTAGAGCACCTGCCTTTGTGTTTGGGTGTTGTGGTTTACAGGGATGCATCAGCTGGGATAATAATGCCCACAACTTTTCAGATTCCGATTTATAGTGATGCAACATAGCATCAGAGATGAATAATCTATTCCAGGTCGGAAGTGTCTAAGTATGTTAGCTTTAAAAGTTTAATAGTTAAAGATGCTACCCATCTCCTTAATTGGTCA